ATTTGGGCTTTGCGATGGTAGGACAGTTGGAGGACAGAGCTCGTGTTCGATGGCCAGGGCACGAAACTCGCCACACTTCTAGAAAATTTTACTCTTTAAGAACTATTGAAATGATCTGCAACCAAGGTTTATGTGTTTCCAAAAACTATTGCCTACTTTCTTGCAAAGCCTGATTCTTAACATCTAACTGAAATTTGTCATACCAAACTAATTGTATATTTTATTTTCCTTTTCGATGATTTTCATGCATAATTCTGGTAATACATATTTATTAATATTTTTAAAAATATAATTTGTTGTAGTTTAAAATTCCTTTCTTAATTCCTTTCGTACTTTATACTCTATACAAGAAGATAGAGCTTAATTTGTTCATTTTTTTCCGGTGTAAAAACCCCTGTTTTTGGTGGGAGGGGGTGTTGGGGGGAACGGGCTTGGATCCTTTGGTTATTTGCAAGAAATGGCAGTTAGTCCGTCCAGGTGCTGCCTGCCATCTGTGTCTGGTCCTTGCCAGCGGTCTCCTTTTGCCTTTCTTTTGCTTGCTTTTTTTTTTACCTTTCGCTTTGGCTTTCCTTCCACCTTTCTTCTTGTTTTTGCAATTCCCTTTTTTTGTTTTGCCGTCGTTCTGCTGTTTTTGTTTTTTCTTCTTCACTTATTTTGCTTACATGAGTGGAAGCGACAGGAATGTTCAGCGCTGTCCTCAGTTCGAGTCCTGGCTAAAGAGGAGCCTCGGGGCGGGGAGAAAGGGGGTGGGGGGAGATGGGTGGGCGGTGGTTGCGGTTAGCAAGGATCCAACTAGGACAAAAGAGCAATACTATTCATACATACACACACACACACGCGCACATGGGGCCATCTCACATATATGTATAAGCCGCGCGGCACATAAGGATTGGCATTACATATACATGCTCGCCTACTCCTTTCCTCGCTCCCTCTCTTTCTCGTTGGCTAACGGTCTCCCTCTTTTCGCTGTCTCTGTCTCTATCTCATATGTATTTGACTGTCCCCATGACAGTATCCCCTTGAAGCCCCCCTTTCCCCCGCCTCCTTTTTTGAGCCCGCCTCTGCCCGCTGAGGTCCTCGCACAAAAATGAAACACCGCAAAGCGTGTTGCTTGACATGTGATTGAGGACGACGTTTATAGGGATACACACACACACCAACACACATGTCGAAAAGGGTGGACCTCTTTAAAAAGTTTTAAAGTGATTTAAATTTATAAAATACAAATTACAGTCGACTCTCGTTAATTCGAAACTCGAGGGACTCTTGAAATATTTCGAATTATCGAGTGTTTGAAATATCAAATGGTTCGAAATTTCGAAATTTTCGAAAGAACTTTGTTATACTGGCTTGCTTTAAAGCACAATTCTGCTGCTCACACTGCTCAATAACTTTTTTTAAGAGAAAAAGTGCCTGAAATACTTTTTCATCACTTTCGTTTTGTAGACATAAGCTTTGTAAGGTATCAAATGAGGATCTTGCTTCCTTAACTGACACCTCTGCCAAAGGTTCTTTATACTTTCTAGGGCTCATAGCTAACATTAACTTTTAATATGCATACCAACGAAAGAGTAACAGTAACTGAATAACTACACAAACCAATTCGTAAGAAGTGTGTGCGTCAAAAACTACATAATCAAAACAAAAACAAAGGCAAGTTTGAACTTGTCGCAAAATTTTTTCCTGCAACTTTGAATTGTCGAGTGTTAGACGCTGATGAGTTCGAATTAACGCGTGGTTTTGTTAAAAATCAATGATTTTTTCGTTCGAATTACCAAGTGTATGAAAATGTATTGATTTAGTTCGAAATATAAAGAGATTTCGTAGGGACCTCGTGATAACTTTGATTTATAGAGAGGTTCGAATTATCGCTGGTTTGAATTAACGAGAGTCGACTGTAATTAATTAGAAATAAATACTCAAAGTAAACAGAGATCAAGAAATATTCTAATGAAAATATTAAAGAAGCTGATCTTTTAATTATTTATTTTATTAATTTTTATTTGTTTATTCAGCCTCAAGTTAACTTATTATATTTTAACTAGAGACTACAATATGAAAAAAAAGTGCACTTAATAATTGTGTCCACCCCTAAAAGCTGGCGCACACATGAATTCTCCAGATACATGGATAGTCAGTCATGAAGAGTCGTCGTGGGTTAGTTAGTTCGTTAGCATTTATGCACTCGCTTTGTATGCACACCCCCCGTTTTCCTCTTTTTCCCCTCCACCCCCCACAGCCCCTTTCACTCCCTTTTTTGTACCCCCCTCATCGGCGGGATAAACTTGTTAGCGCAGAGAAATGTTAAAGGTAATAAATCTGAACGTGACTCGCAAGTGGCCCCGAAAAAAAAAAAAAACTAGACGAAGTGAGTTGTTGCCAGTGGAAAACGTATCATAAATCAATTGAGTTTTCATTTACTTTCCCGAGTGAGTTCGTGGGACATGTGGAGTGCCACTTGAAGCCCATCGACGGAATGGAATCGATCCCCTTCCGCCGACTTTTGACCCATCATCCATGGGTTATCGAGCGGTTTTTACTGTTTTTTTTTTCTGTTTTTTTCTTCCCGTCTGGTTATCGAAGTAAAGTAATCCGCAATGGACGCACAAATGTGATTCGGATTGGTAATTGCAACTGCGAGTGGGGGTTTCTGTTGCCTAGGAATTTACCCATAATGAAGTTCATTATGAGCCTCGTCTGGAAAACAGCAAAGGTGAACATTCCGCAAATGAGGTTCTACTCCTCTCAGCTAAAAACTAGAAAAATTGGAAATTACTAATTAAAACAATTAAATGAAATCAAAATTCTAATAAAATGATATTGTTAACTCGTGTTTCAATTTTATTATATCGACATTCCCGTTTTTTGACATGCTATTGATGGGAATTATTTTTGAAATCAGTGCTTACCTCAGGGCATCCGGTATTCTATAAATACTTTAAGCAATATCTAAAGCTACCGCGAATTTTTCCTCTGCTTCTTTCGTTTTGGCAGTTGCCAAGGGTGAAAATTTAAGGGGTGTGGAAAAATGTTTGGGTGTGCGGGTGTGGAAAACGGTGAAAGTAAAAACACATCAATTGGCATGTGCATGGAAATGACACCAGAGAATTGTGCAAAAATGTTATCTTTGGCTTCCGCACCAAGTCTTCTCCACTTTTTTTTTCTTGGGGATTTACAGCCCCTTCCCTTTGCCGTTTTATTTTTTATTTTTTTTTGCTAAGCGTAAGCGTAACAATAAGAGCAGAAACAACAACAACAACAGCGAAAAACCATTTTAAATAACAGGCGATATTGACGTCAAAAGCGGGGACCTTCGGGGGGTTAAAACTCTGATGGGTGGGTGGGTGATTTCATTTTTTTTTCCTTTTTCCGGCTCTGTGTGCAAAATGGGCCGTGAGCCCTCTTTGCGAAATTGCCATAAGATAACTCCGACAGGCGGCTCACTCTCACATTCTATATAGAAAATTGGCAGTTGGATAAGCGAAAAAACCAATTCACGAATACTTTGCATATATAATATATTCAAAAATTCACCCAGAAGCTGTCCAGGCAACAAGGACCGCCCAACCACCCATAAGCGACCATATCGTGTATACCACGCGTTAAAGGTAAACACCCTTTTAGATAACATTTTGTGGGCGGGGGACGGGGGCGGGGGCGGTGGCGGGGAAGTAGACGAGGGGCGAGTGTTGGTGGAGAGGTAAAAACGCAGGTCAAATGGCAACTGACAAACGCTTTCTGGCGTTTTTTGGGGGTGGGTGGTAGTCGGTGGCTGGGAGGCTGGATGGGTGCCAATGTCCCAAGTCGGTTGTGCCATTTTCCACGGGTCTCGGGAGATTGCAAATTCATATAGCATGGTGGGTAAGCAGTTACCAGGTAATCGGGAGGGGAATTATTCATGGTATTATATACAATATGTACAACGTCAATAATAGCACTTTTAATTACAGAGGTAAAATAATATTATACCTTTAGATTTCAATGGAGGAAATAAATAGTTTTGTTAGAATATAGTTAACAAATGAACAACTATTGGAACCCATTCTAAATTGCAATTTTAATTTACCTGACTTAATATGGGACACTGATCAAAAAAGTTGATAAGAAAAAAAGAGATCACAAATGAGAGCACTCTCTGCTAGTGCTCTTTTTCGGTTATTTCGTTTTAAAAAAGCTCTCTTCTTTTTCACTCTCTTCTTTCCTTGCCGTTCTCCCAAGCCTAGTTCTTCTTCTTCATCGGCGTCCATTGGCAAAACTTATGCGCAAAAAATGCAATTAAATGCAATTAAAGTGAATCTCGGTTTTAAATTGTTATAAAAATTAGTAAAAACGAGTAATAAGCAGTGGACACTGCCGGGTGTAATGAGTTTTATTCGAAATATCCCGTTTAAACAGATAAATTTAGTGTTTTTAAAATGGGTGCTCCGATGGCGTTACATCACACACACATACACATTCAATCCAGAAAAAAGGATGGACACAGAGCCGCAAGAAAGTTTTTAACACAGGTAAGTTAACAATAAAACCAACAAATTGACTATAAGCAAAGAAAGAAAGAATTGCATACATAGCCAAAAACTGCCATATAACTTTTAAATACACCCTGCAGTTCCAAAATTGCTTTGTCGTCGAAGAAGTGTGCGAAGCCGCACCGACGACAGCGGGGGTAGCAGCCTTAGCCGCAGCGGCGCGAGTTTATAGAGACATTTTATATGGCACCGCCGTCTTCGGGATACATGTCGCTCTCGATGACTTTTTTGTCCGTTTCATCGAACAAGTCGTCGGTGGCTTATACGAATTTTGTATGGAGAAAATTCGTATAAGCCATTGTTGCTTTCGTAGCTGACGTGGAGGCGAAGTTTTCAACGATGGCTTTTGCGAGGATGTCCTTAGCGAAATCATCTATGTCAAGCCTAAAAATGTCATCCCCAAATTCATATGAAAAACAATATATATATATTTAATTCTTTTTTATTATATTAATTTATCTTATTTTTTAATATAAGAAATAAGTACATAAATAATATGAAATTCGAAAGTTTTTGTTTACCACTTCTGTGGAGTACTTGCAGGCCATCGGCTGTTTTGCGTCCATCTATGGTACAAATATTTTTATTATTACATGTTATATATTACTTTTTTTAATCTAAAGCAAACTTACCTTTCAAACGAATTTATGGGACATATGTATGGCTGAATCCTAAAAAGATTTAAATAAGTTTGTAGTAAAAAAACATAATGTTTTTGTAATATTAACGACACTTACATGATTTTTAAACATTTCCGCTGCCAGTTGCACAAGTGAAGTAATTTCACAACCAATAGTCGACGCACTACTTAAAAGAATGACGCAGTTTCATTTTTCTCCGATCGAAAGAATAGAAGACAAATTTGGAGTCGGGCCGCCGTCGGGTGCAAGCAACGATTCGTGTTATAAGAGTGAGAAAGAGAGGAACACTTAGGAATATCCCTTTTCCTTTCCTACACACTGATTGCCTAATTGCAAAAAGTCCACAGTGGACATCCAGAACTGCAGGGCATAGTTACATATGTACATATATATATTTGTTTTCTTGTATTGATTCTATTCTTTCCTCGCCGTTCGCCCAAGCCTAGTTCTTCTTCTTCCTCAGCGTCCATTGGCAAACACACACAATTCCATATTTAGGCCTCCTCCTGTTTTTTTTTTATCTTTGCCACACTTTTATTGTCTGCGATGTATTTGATATTGCGAAACTTTTTCACCGTCGTTAGACCGATCGTTTTTTGCATTGATTTTCGATGAATTCCGTTGTTATCGGTTGGCAGGCCATCCGAAAGAAAAGGAAATCAGGGTGATGGAGCCCCACCCACCGAACAGATGCCGTGCATTATATTATCCTGGAGCGTGTATGTATATCCTTGACAGCCAGGCAGGCATCACTAAACTTGACAGTTGACGGCAGGGCGGGCGGACAAGCCAAGGGACGAAAGTACGGCCATAAAAACGGACGAAGGAGGTGGAGTTTCGGTTGGAGGTGACATATGAATGTGCTCGGCGACAGAGGGGAAAATCGGGGGAGTTTGGTGGGCTTGCACAGAAAAAGGGAATACTGCATATTTATTTACAATTTATTTACAATAAAAAAATTGACAAAATGTTGAAGAAAGTTTTCAGTTGACTTTAGATTATTACCATAGAATAGCAAAATTATTGAACGCCTTAAATGTCACTGGTTATTTACTAAAGGGATTGGGTTTAGTTTAGTTTTTTTCCAGTGTATTTTATTCTTTCTGTGCGAGTGTGGCTAAATGGCTGATAGCGAATATAAAAGTGGCACATACACGTATACACTTTTTAAGGATGTGGCGGCGGTGAGGGCCAACCGTCATTGGCATTTGGTCGAGTTGGGTACTTTTCCACATTCGCCTGCCGGGGCTCAGGCGGAAAATAAAAAATGATCATCCAGATGAACCCCCTCCTCCCCGTTCCACCGGAAAAAGAAAGTAACGCACCGTTGGCTAAGAGGAAGAGGAAGAGGGAGAGGGTGAGGGAGTTTTCTTTTTGGCCATGCCTCGAATTCATTGGAATAACCGTAGGCTTTCTCATTTTTTGACATGCGGCGGAAGTCGTGGCACCCATCTTTGGAACGGTATTATATGGTTCGGGGGAGCCGAAACGACTCTTGGTGAGCAAGTGAAGTGTAAAGAGCTCTTTCCTTTATTGGTTTTGTATTTTATTATCACATCTCGTTTATTCCCCCAGCCTTTATGTGTCCGTCTATATATATATATGTATATATATTCCGCCCCCATCTCTATGTGTGATTCGCCTCTAGGCTTTGATGACACTTTGCGCCGCCGTTTACGGGCCATATGGGACTTTGATATGACAACGCAAATATCCGTTATGGAACAACAGGCACGCACCATCTTTATAGCGGGGTTGAGTCCTCGAAAGGGACTTAAATGTTGCCGGGGTAACGTCCACATAGTCATATATCCCTAAAGCCATATAGCCTTGGCGGAAAAGCAAACATCCCCACGACTGACGGGGGAATTAATGAGTGGGTTTATATGTACACATCATAGCCAGTGTGGAGCATCCTTGAATTAATTGGTCATTGGTCTTTGCTTTGCCGAAGATTAACGAGGAACAATCCAAAATTGTGTACAGTACAATTTTTATACATTTTAAATATTTAAATGTAAGAGGTAGAGAGGTTTGCAGTTTTTATTTTATTTAATTAGCTTTATATGTCCAGAAAGACTTTTCATATCTATTAAACTGATAAATGTCTGACCGAGGTGTCTTTTAATTAGTTAATCACCCCAAGTAATCAGTTCACTGACTCCGCATTGAAATAACTTTATCTAAGACTACAAATTTAAAAGGACAAGCCACGCCTAATATGCTAAGAAACCTCCTACCGAATTTTAACAACCCATTACCAATCCAAGAAGTGAATGCAATTCAACATTTTTGCCATTTAATTACTCAATCTAAGGCGCAGCGACTCCACCTACTTACATATGTAAGCTCCACATATATCTCAACGTATCCCGCATATATATATATGTATATATATTTATATATGTATATTGTTGTGAGTTTCGTAATTTTCACATGTGTGGAAAAGCCCTCCCCCGGCCCTCAACTATTGTTGAACAACCCCGCACATATCGCAACTTTGCTACGGGCAACAAAATTAAAACAAATCCTTTCGTTCCATATTAATGGTCGCCATCTTTGCAGCAAATGACATTCGAAAACATTTATTGCGCGAGCGTATGTGTTGGCGGGAGGAGGAGCGCCCAACCACCCAAAAGTACACCCACCCACCCATGTGACCAACCACCACCCCCTTCGGCACATACGTGTGTGTGTGCGTGTGTGTGTGCATGTACTCGTATGTGTTCATTTGGTTATATGTAGTGAACCCTACAGGACACATTCCTCACCCAAAAACGAAAGGGGTGAGCACTTGCCGCATCCTTCTCCAACATCCTGAGAACAAAGCAAAGGCATGCGTGTGGGGGTGTGAATAACTACTACTCGCATGTACAGTCATTTCGGTTTACATTATTTACCCATTTTACCCGAAAAACTTTGTTTTGGCCCCCTATTCCTTTTGCTGGGGACTCCGCGCTCCTTGCTCACTGCGTAAAACTTTCATTTAGTTTTCTAATTACTTTTTTAATCAAGAAACCAAAGATTGCCGCTGTGTGCCGGCAACCCTTTTGAAATTTTCGCATGGGGGGTCTCACTTACCCCGGAACGCGGATTTCGTATTACTGTATCCACTTTGTTAACTGGGGATTACCTCTAACTAGCGAAAGCTGAAGAATAGTTTGAGCAACAAAGAATACATGCTACTTAAATACATTTGCAAGAGCTATTTTGATTACTAGATGGCTTCTGTGCAGTCTAATTGATTTGCTCTATTACTTATGGATTGGAAAATATTTTGTAGTCGTTATACGATGGCTTTATCCTACTTTTGTACGTTGTGCAAATGAGCTCTAATGTAATTAATTATTAAGTTCATTGCATAAAAACATTAAGTGTATTTTAAGATTTGGTCCTCCTTTTTGTGGTTTAAATTTCTTAAATAATAATAATAATCAGATGCCTTCAATGGTTTTTCTTGCGGCTGCACGAATCAAATTTAATTTAATTTTTAATGATTACTTATGATACCTCGAGTACTTAAAATACCTGCTTATATTTCTAGTTGAGGTCTTGCGAATTTTCAGGCATTTTTCCGGTTTTGGTTGGTGGAAAATTTCCACTCTCAATTTGATTTTCCTGCTGGACAAAGGTCTAGCCAGGTCGGCCATTTTGGATTTTCCGCCACCCGCTACATAATGGTGGTCGAAAGTCTGGACTGAAGTTGCATGGAAAACGACGCCTTGGTTCTCTGTCTGTGTTTGGTTTTGTTTGCTGTTTGCCGTTGCCGTTGCCGTTGTCTGGACTCCGGCCCTTCTGATTTTCCCGTTCCGTTCTGTCCTCTAACCCCCGTAGCCTCCGTAGCCTCCGTAGCCCCTGACCAATTCCCAGATCCCAGATCCGAGAACCCAGATCCCAGACTGTTTCCAGGGGGCTGTCAGTCAACGCGTGGCTGCCCCGTGGCCGAGGAGCAGAGTCATCGCCTTCGATTCGCTTTTTATTTTCCTCCCCTTTTCCTTCCGACGCCGATAGTTATTGAGTTTTCCAGCACCACCGCAGACCCCATCCCCACGAAAATTCCTTCGTCAAGGGGGCCAACGCCACCCACGGCAATGTAATGTCAATTTACTTCAAATTGAAATGATTCAAGGGCGAATTTGAGCCGCGAGATGGGGGACGTCAACTTGGCTGGCCAACACTACGAGAAACACTTCCTTATATATTTATGTACATTTTATAAACGGGAAACCATTTAAGCAATGAAATGCTTGAAAATGTTTTAAAAAACTAGGAGAGAAATGTTTTACAAAACTGATTTGTTCTTTGCTTATTAAATATTAAAAGTGTGTATAAATATCACTTTGGTTTTTACAGCCACATTTAAGTAATTAAAACCATTTTTAATTGAACTTCTTATATATTTTTCCACAAGTGTACTCAGTAATCTGTATAGGGCTCCCTCGCTATTTTTGGTGGCAAGTCCAAGGGCTAACTCGCGGCGAACGTCTGCTGTCCATGCGCAGGACATTGCCACGGAAAGGACCAAAGGACCAGGGACCGAAGACCGAAGGCCAAGGACCGCGGAAAGGACAGAGCAGGAAGAGTTTTTGGTTTGGGGTTGGGGGTTGGCAAAGGATGACAGGGCGTGTATATTTATTGTTACCGCTTTTCGTGGTCGCGTCACACAAAAACTTGGACACGCCGAACTTTGTTTATGGGGGAGGAGTGTGGGAGGTCTCTAGGATTTTTGGGTCTTTTGGGGGCACAAGTCCTGGTCCGAGAACCGGGCTGACGTGCAATATTTATTACTTATCTCCCGCTTCTCCCACTTCCCCGTCGACAGTCCGTCGATGTCCCTGCTCCCCCCGGAAGAACGGTAAGGGTGAAATATGAACGGCTGGGCTCCCCTTTTCGCTTGTTCCCGCCTTGCGAATAAACCCCAAAAATAGTCCACTGATTTCGTTCTCGTCTGGAGTTGTTTATGCGTCTGGGTCCGTTCGTTCGTTTCCCTGGGCTTCAAGTTGGTCCTTCCGCAAAAAACCGTCAGCGGATGGGGGTTAATGTACAGTTATGGCCAAAATGACCATCGCAGGGCTTTTGTGGCCGTGAGTCAGGTGCGTCTGGATTATT